GTTACAGGCTGTGTATCCCTATTACAGGCTGTGTATCCCTGTTACAGGCTGTGTATCCCTGTTACAGGCTGTGTATCCCTGTTACAGGCTGTGTATCCCTGATACAGGCTGTGTATCCCTGTTACAGGCTGTGTATCCCTGTTACAGGCTGTGTATCCCTGTTACAGGCTGTGTATCCCTGTTACAGGCTGTGTATCCCTGTTACAGGCTGTGTATCCCTGATACAGGCTGTGTATCCCTGTTACAGGCTGTGTATCCCTGTTACAGGCTGTGTATCCCTGATACAGGCTGTGTATCCCTGTTACAGGCTGTGTATCCCTGTTACAGGCTGTGTATCCCTGTTACAGGCTGTGTTTCCCTGATACAGGCTGTGTATCCCTGATACAGGCTGTGTATCCTGTTGCAGGCTGTGGTTGGTGCTGATGCTGTAGTTTGTGCTGATGCTGTGGTTGGTGCTGATGCTGTAGTTGGTGCTGATGCTGTAGTTGGAGCTGATGCTGTAGTCGGTGCTGATGCGGTAGTCGGCGCTGATGCTGTAGTTGGTGCTGATGCTGTAGTCGGTGCTGATGCTTAGTTGGAGCTGATGCTGTAGTTGTGCTGATGCTTAGTTGGTGCTGATGCTGTAGTTGTGCTGATGCTGTAGTCGGTGCTGATGCTGTAGTCGGTGCTGATGCTGTGGTTGGTGCTGATGCTGTAGTTGGTGCTGATGCTGTAGTTGTGCTGATGCTGTAGTCGGTGCTGATGCGGTAGTCGGCGCTGATGCTGTAGTTGGTGCTGATGCTTAGTTGGAGCTGATGCTGTAGTTGTGCTGATGCTTAGTTGGTGCTGATGCTGTAGTTGTGCTGATGCTGTAGTTGTGCTGATGCTGTAGTTGGTGCTGATGCTGTAGTTGTGCTGATGCTGTAGTCGGTGCTGATGCTGTAGTCGGTGCTGATGCTGTAGTTGTGCTGATGCTGTAGTTGTGCTGATGCTGTAGTCGGTGCTGATGCTGTAGTCGGTGCTGATGCTGTAGTCGGTGCTGATGCTGTAGTCGGTGCTGATGCTGTAGTTGGAGCTGATGCTGTAGTCGGTGCTGATGCTGTAGTCGGCGCTGATGCGGTAGTCGGTGCTGATGCTGTAGTTGTGCTGATGCTGTAGTCGGTGCTGATGCTGTAGTCGGTGCTGATGCTGTAGTTGGTGCTGATGCTGTAGTTGTGCTGATGCTGTAGTTGGTGCTGATGCTGTAGTCGGTGCTGATGCTGTAGTTGGTGCTGATGCTGTAGTTGTGCTGATGCTGTAGTTGGTGCTGATGCTGTAGTTGGAGCTGATGCTGTAGTCGGTGCTGATGCTGTAGTCGGTGCTGATGCTGTAGTCGGTGCTGATGCTGTAGTTGGTGCTGATGCTGTAGTTGGTGCTGATGCTGTAGTTGTGCTGATGCTGTAGTCGGTGCTGATGCTGTAGTTGTGCTGATGCTGTAGTTGGTGCTGATGCTGTAGTTGGTGCTGATGCTGTAGTTGGTGCTGATGCTGTAGTTGGTGCTGATGCTGTAGTCGGTGCTGATGCTGTAGTTGTGCTGATGCTGTAGTTGTGCTGATGCTGTAGTTGGTGCTGATGCTGTAGTTGTGCTGATGCTGTAGTCGGTGCTGATGCTGTAGTTGGTGCTGATGCTGTAGTTGTGCTGATGCTGTAGTCGGTGCTGATGCTGTAGTTGTGCTGATGCTGTAGTCGGCGCTGATGCTGTAGTTGTGCTGATGCTGTAGTCGGCGCTGATGCTGTAGTTGTGCTGATGCTGTAGTTGGTACTGATGCTGTAGTTGGTGCTGATACTGTAATCGGTGCTGATGCTGTAGTTGTGCTGATGCTGTAGTTGGTACTGATGCTGTAGTCGGTGCTGATGCTGTAGTCGGTGCTGATGCTGTAGTTGTGCTGATGCTGTAGTTGGTGCTGATGCTGTAGTCGGTGCTGATGCTGTAGTTGTGCTGATGCTGTAGTTGTGCTGATGCTGTAGTCGGTGCTGATGCTGTAGTTGTGCTGATGCTGTAGTTGGTGCTGATGCTGTAGTCGGTGCTGATGCTGTAGTCGGTGCTGATGCTGTAGTCGGTGCTGATGCTGTAGTCGGTGCTGATGCTGTAGTTGTGCTGATGCTGTAGTCGGTGCTGATGCTGTAGTTGGTGTTGATGCTGTAGTTGGTGTTGATGCTGTAGTTGTGCTGATGCTGTAGTTGTGCTGATGCTGTAGTTGGTGCTGATGCTGTAGTTGTGCTGATGCTGTAGTTGTGCTGATGCTGTAGTTGGTGCTGATGCTGTAGTTGTGCTGATGCTGTAGTTGTGCTGATGCTGTAGTCGGTGCTGATGCTGTAGTTGGTGTTGATGCTGTAGTTGTGCTGATGCTGTAGTTGTGCTGATGCTGTAGTTGTGCTGATGCTGTAGTTGGTGCTGATGCTGTAGTTGGTGCTGATGCTGTAGTCGGTGCTGATGCTGTAGTTGTGCTGATGCTGTAGTTGGAGCTGATGCTGTAGTTGGTGCTGATGCTGTAGTTGTGCTGATGCTGTAGTCGGTGCTGATGCTGTAGTTGTGCTGATGCTGTAGTTGTGCTGATGCTGTAGTTGGTGCTGATGCTGTAGTTGTGCTGATGCTGTAGTCGGTGCTGATGCTGTAGTTGGTGCTGATGCTGTAGTTGTGCTGATGCTGTAGTTGTGCTGATGCTGTAGTTGTGCTGATGCTGTAGTCGGTGCTGATGCTGTAGTTGTGCTGATGCTGTAGTCGGTGCTGATGCTGTAGTTGGTGCTGATGCTGTAGTTGTGCTGATGCTGTAGTTGGTGCTGATGCTGTAGTCGGTGCTGATGCTGTAGTTGTGCTGATGCTGTAGTTGGTGCTGATGCTGTAGTCGGTGCTGATGCTGTAGTTGTGCTGATGCTGTAGTCGGTGCTGATGCTGTAGTTGTGCTGTTGCTGTAGTTGTGCTGTTGCTGTAGCTGTGCTGATGCTGTAGTTGTGCTGATGCTGTAGCTGTGCTGTTGCTGTAGTTGTGCTGTTGCTGTAGCTGTGCTGTTGCTGTAGTTGTGCTGTTGCTGTAGCTGTGCTGTTGCTGTAGCTGTGCTGTTGCTGTAGTCTGTGCTGATGCTGTAGTCGGTGCTGATGCTGTAGTTGTGCTGATGCTGTAGTTGTGCTGATGCTGTAGTTGGTGCTGATGCTGTAGTTGGTGCTGATGCTGTAGTCGGTGCTGATGCTGTAGTTGTGCTGATGCTGTAGTTGTGCTGATGCTGTAGTTGTGCTGATGCTGTAGTTGTGCTGATGCTGTAGTTGTGCTGATGCTGTAGTCGGTGCTGATGCTGTAGTCGGTGCTGATGCTGTAGTTGTGCTGATGCTGTAGTCGGTGCTGATGCTGTAGTTGTGCTGATGCTGTAGTCGGTGCTGATGCTGTAGTCGGTGCTGATGCTGTAGTCGGTGCTGATGCTGTAGTTGCTGATGCTGTAGTTGTGCTGATGCTGTAGTTGTGCTGATGCTGTAGTTGTGCTGATGCTGTAGTTGTGCTGATGCTGTAGTTGTGCTGATGCTGTAGTTGTGCTGATGCTGTAGTTGGTGCTGATGCTGTAGTTGGTGCTGATGCTGTAGTTGTGCTGATGCTGTAGTCGGTGCTGATGCTGTAGTTGTGCTGATGCTGTAGTTGTGCTGATGCTGTAGTTGTGCTGATGCTGTAGTCGGTGCTGATGCTGTAGTTGTGCTGATGCTGTAGTCGGTGCTGATGCTGTAGTTGGTGCTGATGCTGTAGTTGTGCTGATGCTGTAGTTGTGCTGATGCTGTAGTCGGTGCTGATGCTGTAGTCGGTGCTGATGCTGTAGTCGGTGCTGATGCTGTAGTTGTGCTGATGCTGTAGTTGTGCTGATGCTGTAGTTGGTGCTGATGCTGTAGTCGGTGCTGATGCTGTAGTCGGTGCTGATGCTGTAGTTGTGCTGATGCTGTAGTTGTGCTGATGCTGTAGTTGGTGCTGATGCTGTAGTTGTGCTGATGCTGTAGTTGTGCTGATGCTGTAGTCGGTGCTGATGCTGTAGTTGTGCTGATGCTGTAGTTGTGCTGATGCTGTAGTTGGTGCTGATGCTGTAGTTGTGCTGATGCTGTAGTTGGTGCTGATGCTGTAGTTGGTGCTGATGCTGTAGTTGGTGCTGATGCTGTAGTTGGTGCTGATGCTGTAGTTGTGCTGATGCTGTAGTTGTGCTGATGCTGTAGTTGTGCTGATGCTGTAGTTGGTGCTGATGCTGTAGTTGGTGCTGATGCTGTAGTTGTGCTGATGCTGTAGTTGTGCTGATGCTGTAGTTGTGCTGATGCTGTAGTTGTGCTGATGCTGTAGTTGTGCTGATGCTGTAGTCGGTGCTGATGCTGTAGTTGTGCTGATGCTGTAGTCGGTGCTGATGCTGTAGTTGTGCTGATGCTGTAGTCGGTGCTGATGCTGTAGTCGGTGCTGATGCTGTAGTTGTGCTGATGCTGTAGTCGGTGCTGATGCTGTAGTTGTGCTGATGCTGTAGTCGGTGCTGATGCTGTAGTTGTGCTGATGCTGTAGTCGGTGCTGATGCTGTAGTTGTGCTGATGCTGTAGTCGGTGCTGATGCTGTAGTTGTGCTGATGCTGTAGTTGGTGCTGATGCTGTAGTTGTGCTGATGCTGTAGTTGTGCTGATGCTGTAGTTGTGCTGATGCTGTAGTTGTGCTGATGCTGTAGTTGTGCTGATGCTGTAGTTGGTGCTGATGCTGTAGTTGTGCTGATGCTGTAGTTGTGCTGATGCTGTAGTCGGTGCTGATGCTGTAGTTGGTGCTGATGCTGTAGTCGGTGCTGATGCTGTAGTTGTGCTGATGCTGTAGTTGGTGCTGATGCTGTAGTTGTGCTGATGCTGTAGTCGGTGCTGATGCTGTAGTTGTGCTGATGCTGTAGTTGGTGCTGATGCTGTAGTTGTGCTGATGCTGTAGTCGGTGCTGATGCTGTAGTTGGTGCTGATGCTGTAGTTGTGCTGATGCTGTAGTTGTGCTGATGCTGTAGTTGTGCTGATGCTGTAGTTGGTGCTGATGCTGTAAGGAATGGCGTTGATACCTTCCCAGGTGCTGCGCCTCGCTATACTGCTCTCCTACCTCTCTGTCCTCTGTACCTTCAAAGCCCTGGACATTCCGGCCCATCAGACCTACGGTGGCAGCTGGAAATTCCTGACCTTCATCAACCTGGTAAGAATCATCTTCCTCCTCCTCCTCCTCCTCCCCTCTCTCTCTCTCTCTTTCTCCTTCTCCCTTTCTCCTCTCTCTGTGGGAATCTCTCTCCCTCTCTCCTCTCTGTGTTTCTTCTCCCTCTGTCTCTCTCTCCCCCCCCACTGTCTCCCCCCCCCTTCTCTGTCTCTCTACCCCCCCTCTCTGTCTCTCTCTCCCCCCCATCCCCCCATCTCTGTCTCTCTCTACCCCCCACCCCCTCTCTCTGTCTCTCTCCCCACCCCCTCTGTCTCTCTCCCCCCCCCCCACCCCTCTGTCTCTCTCCCTCTCTGTGTCTCTCCCTCTGTGTGTGTGTGTGTGTGTGTGTGTCTCCCTCTCTGGGTCTCTTCCCCTTTCTGTCTCTCTCTCCCTCTCTGTGTCTCTCTGTCTCTTCTCTGTGGGAATCCTTCTCTGACTCGTTCTCTCTGCTCTTTCCATTGCTACCTTCTCTCTCCCTCTATTGCTGTCTCACTCTATCTCTCCATCACTGTGTCTGTCATTGTGCATCTATCTCTGCTTCTCAGTGACTATCTCTGTGAGTCCCTCTCCCTCTCTGTATGTATCTGTTTCTCTGCCTCTCTCTCTCTCTCTGTCTCACCCCATTCCTGTCTTTCTCTCTTTTAATCAGTGTATCTGCCTCAATCTCTCCCTTTCTCTCAAGATGTGTGTGACACTCTCTCTCTCTCTGTATCACTGTGTGTGTGTGTCTGTATACCTATCACTGTCTCTCTCTCTGTGTTTCTCTGGGTCTCTTTTTGTGTCTTTAGTTGTTTCACTGTCTGTCTCTCTCTCTTTCTCTCTGTCTCACTCTATCCCTGTCTTCCTCTGTATCTGTGTCCCTCCATTTGTGGTGTGTGTGTTTTTGCCCCTCATTCTCTCTCTCTCCCTCTTATGTATCAGTGTGTGTGTTTCTCTCTCTCTCTATCTATGTATTAGTGTGTGTTTCTCTCTATCTATCTGTGTATCTCTGGGTGTGTCACTCTCTCTCTCTGTCCCCTACTCTGTATCTCTGAGAGTGTGTGTGTGTCTCTCTATCTCCTGTGTATTTGTGTGCAACTGTGTGTGTGTGTGTCTGTCTCTCTATCTCCTATGTGTCTGTGTGTGTATCTGTCTGACTCCTGTGTATTTGTGTGTGTCTGTGTGTGTGTGTGTGTCTCTACCTGTTATGTATTTGTGTGTGTCTGTGTCTGTGTCTCTACCTGCTGTGTATTTATGTGTGTGTCTTTCTCTATATCGCCTGTGTATTTGTGTGTATCTGTCTCTCTTTCTCCTGTGTATTTGTGTGTGTGTCTGTGTGTGTCTCTCTACCTGTTATGTATTTGTGTGTGTCTGTGTGTGTGTCTGTCTCTCTCCTGTTGTGTATTTGTGTGTGTCTGTGTGCGTGTGTCTCTCTACCTGCTGTGTATTTGTATGTGTGTCTCTCTCTCTACCTGCTGAGTATTTGTGTGTATCTGTCTCTCTTTCTCCTGTGTATTTGTGTGTGTCTGTCTCTCTATCGCCTGTGTATTTGTGTGTATCTGTCTCTCTCCTGTGTATTTGTGTGTGTCTGTGTGCGTGTGTCTCTCTACCTGCTGTGTATTTGTATGTGTCTCTCTCTCTCTATCTCCTGTGTATTTGTATGTGACTGTGTGTGGGATGTGTGTCTGTTTCTCTATCGCCTGTGTATTTGTGTGTATCTGTCTCTATCTCCTGTGTAGTTGTGTGTGACTGTGTATGTCTGTCTCTCTATCTCCTGCGTATTTGTGTGTGGTCTCATTCTCTCTATCTCCCGTGTATTTGTGTGTGACTGTGTGTGGGTGTGTGTACCTGTCTCTCTATCTCCTGTGCAATTTTGTGTGTCTGTGTGTGTGTGTGTGTGTCTGTCTCTCTATAATTCATAATTAACAACTAATAATGATCCGTACGTTTGGTATAACACCTTTGACACCAGAAGGACATCCCAAAGTGCTTTACAGGAAATACTGTTAACCCTGCAAGCCATAGCCCCACCGGGTAGGGAGGTCCCAGCTGGACAAGCAGCGGGAAAGCCGGCCAGACAGTGCTCTCAATGGCAAGCTTTGCAGTTTTGAGCTGGTGAGCCTCCAGCAGTTCCCCCAACACACGCTCTCGCCAACCTGTACCTCATACTCTCCGGAATTAGTGAAAGCAGGATATGTTCCTCCGGAAAGAGAATGCACATTCCGTTCCAAAATGGTCAAGAGAAGAGTTACAGGAATCGGATGTGGAGCTCGCTGCCAAAGCTGTGGTTGAAGTAACTCGCCTCAAGTATTCGAGAGGAAACTTGATGCTCGCATGAGGGAGAAGGGAATTTTTATTTTGCTCAGCCGGGTATCTGACACGCACCAGGAACCCATCACCAGGCTCATGAGTCTCCAAACCGAGCTGAGAATCCCGTGTATCCCACCTACACCGGGAAATCCCAGAGAGAGATTGTTGGAATGGAATACATACTCTCTTCCTGGAGGGACCAGAACTCTGCAGCTCGTGTACTGTCCCGCACCAGGCTTCGGGACCACACCACTCCCACCCTCGCTCACCTCCACTGGCTCCCCATCCCCCAGAGGATCGAATTCAAGATCCTCATCCTCACCTACAAGGCCATTCACGGCCTCGCTCCCTCCTACCTCTCTGACCTACTATCCTCCTAGTTACGTGCCCGTACCCTCCGTTCCTCTGGCTCCGGTCTGCTCCACATCCCCCGCCCCAACCGCCCTACCATCGGTGGCCGGGCCTTCAGCCTCTCAGCCCCGAGGCTCTGGAACTCCATCCCCAGTGTCTTTGCCACCTCCTCCCTTTCCTCCTTCAAGGCCGGTCTCAAGACGTTTCTCTTTGACCGAGCCTTCAGCTCCCCTCTCGACTCTCTACCCCCTCCTCACTCCTTCCCTTCCCTCACCCTGACCATTTCCCCCCCTGCTCGGGTCCTGACCCAACTGTACAGCGCCTTGGGACGTCCTCCCGACGTGAAAGGCGCTCTATAAATGGAATCTTGTTGTTGTTGATGTTGATGTATCCTGCTGACATAATTCCAGAGAGTATTAGGCGCAGGTTGGCGAGAGCCGAGGCTTGGGGACCCCAGAGTGTGCGTTGGGGTAACTGCTGGTGTCTAACCAGCTAAAACTAGCGTTTCGCCCACAAAATATACAGTCGGTTCGCTTTACAGTATCTTCTGTGAAGTGCTTGACATGTTGACGATGTGAAGTGGTTTGACTTTGTACTTTGTGGGCAAAATACGGCAGCCAATTACGCACAACAGTGCCCGACAAACAGAAACCTCGGTTTAACATCTCATCCAAAGGACGGCACCTCCGACAATGCAGTGCTCCCCCCAGCACTGCGCTGAAGAGTCAGCTTAGACTATGTGATTCCAAGTCCCGAGGTGGGGCCTTGAACCCACAACCTTCTGACTCAGAGGCGAGAGAGAGAGAGAGCGCTGCCAGTGAACCACACTGAATATAATCGCTACCAGATGCAGGAACAGTTGCATTGCATCAAAATGCTCGAGGGTGTCACAGCTGAGCTGAATTCCCTCACCTCTGGAGCCCGAATGCTGTAGGTCGAAGCCCCCACATCGTGGTCGTTGGATGCACAGTCCAGGTTGACTGACCATCCGGTGCAGTGCTGTGGTGGAAGCGCTGCACTGACAGAGAAGCTCGCCTTCAGATGAGACGTTAAACCGAGGTCCATGTTGAAGATCCCATGGCACTGTTGGACAAGAGAAGGGATTTTCTCTCTCCCGGTGTCCTGGCCAACAATCCCCTCCCCCCACTCCCAAATAAAGCCAATCATGACTGTTTTGCGGGACTTTGCTGTGCAAAACATGGCTGCCACGTTAGTTAGCCCGCAAAACACGCAGTCACTACACTTTACGGTATATTCTTGAGACCTCTGGAAGATGTGATAAGGTGCTCTATCAAATGCAAGAATTATTATTATATTATTATCTGAATCTGCCACGGTACACTATCCTTTGTGAAGTGCTGTTTAAATCCACGTTGTTGTTGTTTTTCCTCCTGTCTGTTTGTGTTGCCCCTATTTTAAAGATACATCCATAAAATACTGAGAGAGGACTTATTTTCTCGGTCCGTCAGGTGACTGACACACTTGCCTCGCAAGTGAGAGGACGTGGGTTTGATTGCCGGGCAGGGCGATACCTTAGGCAAGTTTCCCTACTATACACGTCTCTGTTTACCCAGTAGTATGTAAGAACCGGGTTGTAGGTCAACTGGCGGATCACTTTCCTGGGGTAATAATCCCTCAAAAAAATAAGAATTTCATCACTGAATCCATGACTGTTGGTGGGACACTACTGTGCGCAATTTCACTCATAAAACATAGAGTCAATTCACTTTACAGTATATTCTGTGAAGGGCTTTGAGATGCGCTTTAAGGTGTTGTATCAAATGAAAGGATTACTATTAATATAGGAACCTAACACTGTACTTAAGAGTCTCCAAACCAAGCTACAAAGAGTATTGTATTTACATGCACACCTCCCAGTATTTGCATTGGAATGTGCACTCTCTCTCTCTCTCTCTCTCCCATGAGGGACGCACCCTGCCTAACCTTGGAAAGTAGGAGGTGTAGGTTGGTTAGAGCCGAGGTGGGCGTGAGGGGAGGGTGGGAAAGAGTGAATGCGCACTGTGGGGTAACTGCTGGAGTCTAACCAGCTCAGACTGCAGAGCTTGCCATTGAGAGCACTGCCTGGCCAGCTTTTCCCGCTGCTTGTCCAGCCAGGACCACCTTATCTTTAAGAGCTTATGGCTTGCGGGTTTTAATGGGAGCCGAGTGGGACGAGTCCCACCAAAAATAACTACTCTTGGGCTTCTCAGGGAAGTTACGTTGAACTCTTGCACGGTCTTTCTAATTAGTTAGGCAAGTCTGTGCTTGTGGGAGAGCCTGACACTGACTTGAAGCAGAATATTGATGGCTTCATTAGCTCAGTGTTGGGCTGGTTAACATATTCAGCTTTAATGTCCGGAATCTCATTACTTCGTCCTTTATCACCTCAAGGTTGGACTATGGGAACTCTCTCCTCGCCGGCCTTCCTGGCACCTCCCTCCACAAGCTGCAGGTCATTCAGAACTCTGCAGCTCGTGTACTGTCCCGCACCAGGCTTCGCAACCACATCACTCCCACCCTCGCTCGCCTCCACTGCCTCCCCATCCCCCAGAGGATCAAATTCAAGATCCTCATCCTCACCTACACCGCCATTCAAGGCCATGCTTCCAGCTACCTCTCCAACCTACTATCCCCCTACCTACCTGCCCATACCCTCCGTTCCTCTGGCTCCGGTCTGCTCCACATCCCCCGCCCCAACCGCCCTACCATCGGTGGCCGGGCCTTCAGCCTCTCAGCCCTGAGGCTCTGGAACTCTATCCCCCAATGCCTTCGCCGCCTCCTCCCTTTCCTCCTTCAAGGCCGGTCTCAAGACCTTTCTCTTTGACCGAGCCTTCAGCTCCACGCTCGACTCTCTACCCCCTCCTCGCTCCCTCCCTCCCTTCCCTCCCCTCACCCTGACCATTACCCCCCAATGCTCGGGTCCTGACCCAACTGTCCAGCGCCTTGGGATGTCCTCCCGACGTGAAAGGCGCTCTATAAATGGAATCTTGTCGTTGTTGTTGTCCTCTGTGGCACTAGAAATTACCATTGACACGTATCCAAGAGCTTCGATACGTTCTCAAGACGTGAAATGGGAATGGCATTGTTTTGATTTCCACCTGAGTCTGGCTGAGTCAGTGGCTCACTCTCGCCTCTCACTTAGGAGGTTGTGGGTTCATGTCGGGACTTGCAACCCGTGTAGTCTAAGCTGATGCTCCAATGTTGCATCGTCAGAGGTGTCGTCCTTCGGATGAGACATTAAACCAAGGTCCCATCTGCTTGTCCAGGTAGATATTAAAGATCCCGTGGCTCTATTCGAAAAGAGAAGGGAGTTTCTCTCTCTCTCTCTCCCGGTGTCCTGGCCAACAAACCCCCAAATAAAACTGGGAATTTGTTTCCTGGCTGTTTGTGGGACGTTACTGTGGACAATTGTGCTGCCGCTTTTGCCCACAAATGCACAGTCACTGCACTGCATTGCAATTCCTGCGAGCCGTCATTAGACCATTCTGGTCCAGATAAAACTGATCACTCATAACATAACACAACATGTGTTATGGAGCAGGAATAGGCCATTCGGCCCTTCGAGCCTCTGCCCCGCCATTCAATCATGGCTGATCTTCTAATCTAACTCCAGCTAATAACCTGACCCTGACTTAGCCCCATATCCCTTAATCACTCACTTCATGGCTGTTTGTGGGACTTGCCGAATGCAAATTGGCTGCTGCGTTCACCTACAAAACACACAGTCACTACAGTCGGTTGACGCATGAGGGTGCCTCATTTGGGGGGGATTGACAGCCAGGACACTGGGAGAGAGAAACTCCCTTCTCTTTTGGAATAATGCCCTGGGATCTTCAACACCCGCCCGCACAGGGAGACGGGACCTCGGTTTAACGTCTCATCCGAAGGATGGCTCCTCTGACAATGCAACACACACCCCCCCCCCACCCAGCGCTGCACCGGAGAGTCAGCCTAACCTGGGCATAGCACAAAATCCCAATTTGGGGAGGACGGGGGGCTTCAACCCGCAAACCTTCTGACTCCGACGCTCACTGAGCCAGGTAAATGCAAGGAATTGCTGTCAAATGTAGTGACTGTGAATTCTGACAGCTGGCACCTAACAGGCTGGGTTTGACTGTAAAACACTGGGGATAAACCTAACCTTGACATTTCAGTTGACATTTCCTGAGGCGAATGGGCCAAGTGGATCAGGGAAGAGGGATGGGTGAGATAGGTAAGAAGGAGGGATGTTCTGTCAGGTCCAACTGTATGTAGCTTTCTCCACACCTGAAAGGGAATATTGATTCCTCTCAATAGGATGGAAAGAAACAACCAATGATTATTTTTAAGATCCATTTCACTTTCGAAAGGTCTTTACAAGCTTTGCTGTAACAGCTCTCAAGTGCGCATTTTTACATGCAAACATTTTACACATAGCAAGGTCCCACAAACACAGAGCTCCTGTGGGGAGCGAACACCAGTACACAAAACCATGCGAATGACCAAGTTGGTGTCACCCCAGGACACTCTGCACTCTCACCTCCCAGTCAGAAGGTTGTGAGCTTAAGCCCCACATTGGGCCTTGGCTGACGCTCAAATACAGTGCTGGGGGAACGTTACATTAACGCAGGTGCCATCCTTCGGACGAAATGTTATATTGATAATAATAATCCTTGCATTTGATGTAGCATCTTATCATGTCTCGAAGCACTTCACAGAATATACTCGACTGCGTTATGTGGGCAAAACACGGCAGCCAATTGCGCTCAGCAGTGTCCCACAGATAGTTGTGGATAATAATGTTTTTTGGAGGATTATTACCCTTGGAAAGCGATCCACCGATTGACTAATGACCAGGTTCCTAGTTAGTGCTGCAAACGGAGGCCTGTGGAGTAAGGAAACTTGCCGAAGGCTTCATCCAGCTCAGGAATCTAACCCGGGTCCTCTCGCTCGCGAGGCGAGTGGTTTAACCAATGTGTTACAACATGGGCCTCTGAAATTCTCTCAAGAGACTCTGTCGAACCCCATCATGTATTTAAAACCTCTAAAGGATTCCACATGCATTGAGGCATTCTTTGCAAAAGGCACTGGCTGTCAGAAGGTTGTGAGTGCAAGTCCCAACACGATGGAGAGAGCAGGGGAATGGGATGAGAGTAGAGAGCTCCAGTGGAGGAGCGAGCACAGTTGTGAGTGGATGCATTGAGCTCCTCCTGTGAAGTCATTTCTATGATTCTGGAAGAAAGAGCGAAGCTGAGAGTGTGTTGGGGTTTCGGAGGAGTTAATTTCCATTGTGTTTGGAATTGCGGTGGAAAGATTATTCCAGAATGATCTCAGCTGGGAGGCGTCCCAAAAAATGGAATTAAGTTCCACATGTGTGCCAGGCGATGTAACACGTGCAAATGATTTCTATTCTGATTAATCTCTCACTGGGACCTACTGATCCATGCCTTAATTTTGTAATAATCTAATAATTTTGGTAGGAACACTTTTGTTGGCCGATTGGCGGATTGCTTTTCTGGGGATAATAATCCCTTCAGATAAAGACTTTTTAAAAAAAATTGGAGTGTTTCCAGTGTCGGCCGACAATCCAATACTGTGCTGGGGGAGAGACCCAGTGTCGGAGATGCTGTCTTTCAGGTGAGACGTTAAACAGAAGTCCTGACTCTGCCTGTTCCACAGGATGTTAAAGATCCCATGGCACTATTTCAAAAAGAGAAAGAGGTTTCTCTTTCCCGGTGTCCTGGTTGGCACTTCCCCAAATACAATAAGTCATTCACTTTATGCCTGTTTTTCTGGTCAGCCGGGTGTCTGACACATGCAGAAACCTGTCATCGTGCTTAAGAGTCTCCAAACCAAGCCGAGAATTCCAGGCATCCCACCTACACATGGAAATCCCAGAGAGAGATTGTTGGAATGGAATGCGCTCTCTCTCCCTGGAAGGACGCACCCTGCCTTTCTAATTCCGGAAAGCATTAGGCGCAGGTTGGCAAGAGCCGAGGCTTGGGGAGTGTGTGTTGGGGTCACCGCTGGCGTCTAACCAGATAAAACCACATTTCTTGTCATTGATATCACTGTCTGGTAAGCTTTCCCACTGCTTGTCCAGCTCGGACCACCACATCCATTAGTGCTTTGGCTTGCGGGGCTAACAGGAAATGAGTGGGAGGATTCCCTGCCCCCAGTGACTGTTTGTGAGACGTTCACTGTGCTAAAATTGCCTGCCCTGTTTGCCTCCAAAAAAAATAACTTCACAATATATTCTGTGAAGGGCTTTTGAGGCGTCCGAATGACGTGATAAGGTGCTATATCAAATGCAAGGATTATTACTATAAAATACACAATTCTACACTTTACAATAAAATCCTCTGAAGCATTTTGAGACGTGCTGACAATGTGATGAGGGGCTGCGTCAAATGTAAAGCTTATTTATAAGCCTTGCATTTATTATTTGCAACCGTAACCTCCAAATATCTCAAACCCTTCAAGGGGAATTGCTGTCAAATGGCTGTGTATTTTTAGGTCAACATTAGTAGGCGAATCTCAAAGCGTTTGATAGATAACACTGAAGTTGAGAGACTGTGATTTGCAGACAAATGCGATAGCGTTCTAGAGCACTCGAGTGTGGCGGAGCCAGGACACAGAGCCAGGGGGAGGGGGGAGATTACCACTGGTAGCTACGGTTGAAGAGGAAATGCAAATTACTTTTGTGCAGCACATGTGGGAGTCCTGTAGCGTATTGGTTAGAGCGCTCGCCTCGCAAGCAAAAGGACCTGGGTTCAATTCCCGGGCAGGGCAAAACTTTGGGCAAGTTTCCTTACTCCGCATGGCTCTGTTTACCCAGCAGTAAGTAGGAACCTGGTTATTAGTCGATTGGTGGATCGCTTTTCCGTGGGTAATAAATCCCAAATAATTTTTTTTAAAATAATAAATTGGTTACTCAATCCACGACTGTTTGTGGGACACTGCTCTACACAATTGGCTATTTCGAAGAGGAGGGTCTTGAGCCAGGACTTGAGTGAGGCAAGCGAGAGAGCAAGGCGAAGGGAATGTGGGATGGAGTTCTGGTGGGTCGGGACAGAGAGGCTGAAGGCCTGACCGTCGATGGTGGGAGTGAGCCAGGCGGGGGACGTGGAGCAGGACGAGGGCGGGGGTGATAGGGTCTCGGAGCTCAGAGATTCAGGGCGCAGTGCCTGAAATCACGTAACACACGGCTTTGTTGCTCGTCAGGTGATCCAGACGGTTTTCTTTGGAATCTGTGTCCTGACCGACCTGTCCAGCCTCCTGACCCACGGCAGCGACGATCAGGAACAGCAGAGACAACTGAGGAAACTCATCTCCCTCCGCGACTGGCTGATGGCTGTCTTGGCCTTTCCCACCGGCACGGTAAGCCCAGCGTCTGGGATGTTCCCTCCACTCCTGAGCAGCACGCACTGGGCTATGGTTTCCTAAAAAAAAATTGTAAAAAATCGGTCGCTCAATCCACGACTGTTTGTGGGGACGCTGCTGTGCGCAATTGGCTGCCAGGTTTCGCCCACACAATATGCAGTCGATTCACTTTACAGTATATTCTATGAAGCTCTTTGAGACGTCTCAACGACGCGATAAGGCGCTGTGTCAAATGTAAGGCATATTATATTATTACCCTGTGAAGTGCTTTGGGATGTCCTCATGGTGTGTAAGGTTATAATTATTGTTATATAACTTAGACACTGTTGTTAACTTGGGTTTGCAGGTTGTCGTCATCATGTTCTGGGCCCTGTACATGTATGATCGGGAGATGGTTTATCCCAAGATCTTGGACAGTTTTATACCACAGTGGGTTAATCATGGGATGGTGAGTACAGAGGGGAGAGGGATTTTTCCAAGTGCACTGACCAACAACTGAAACATGTGGAAGCATGATGACTTAGAAGCTCTTCATTGCATTCGGTAATCTTTCCTGGTGTCCCGGCTGACAAGCCGCCAGATAAAATTGGTCACTGATTTCGTGGGACGTTAAGTGGAACATCGCTGTGCGCAAATTGACTCATTTCCAAAGCAGCTGGATGCTGTAATGGGGGGAACAGTAGGGTGGGTGTTCTGGAGAGATGAGATCAGATGGGCCAAAGGGTCTTATTATTCCCCAAACATCTCATGAACTAAAATAATCTTTCCTCCGCTCTGATAATCACAAGGCAGAAGTGTCTCTGTGGTTTATTTGGCCTGAAAAAGCCAAGGCAGTGTATATATATATATACACGTGTGTGTGTGTGTGTGTGTGTATAGTCGAAAGTAATATTCAGTTTTATGGTCCTTTTTGTGCACATGTTTTGTATTTCTTTCCTTGTGCTTGGTTTGTTTGTTGACACCTGCAGGCATGGCAACTGCACTCACACCCATATCGTGCAGAGACTAATATCTGTAAAGTGTGGTCACCTTTGGCAGATACAGGAACCCTGCAGTGAGCGACACACACTCTGTGACGCTCACGCACAGGTTTCCTTGTCCCGGAATCCTTACTGTCTGTACCACAACTCAAAGCCATGAAGTTATCGATGGTAAAGCTGGAGGGAACCAAATGAAAGAAGAAAGGAAAGAAAGAGAGAGAGATTGAAAGAAAGAAAGAAACAAAGAGAGAGATAGAGAGAGTTAAAGAACTTGATTAGGTTGAACTTGATTCAATTCCCAGGCGGGGGGCAAAATCTTAGGCAGTTTCCTTACTCCACACGCCTCTGTTTACCCAGCAGTAAGGAGGAACACGGTTGTCAGTCGATTGGCAGATCGCTTTCCGGGGGTAATAATCCCTCTATATACAAAAAATTGGTCACTCAATCTATGACTGTTTGTGGGGACTGTGTTGTGCGCAATTGGCTGCCGTGTTTCGCCCACAAAATACACAGTCACAGCACTTTACAGTACATTCTGCGAAGCGCTTTGAGACGCCTCGAAGACGCGATAAGGCGCTGTATCAGGCGCAAGGATTAGTATTATTATGCATTTCCCACGTGCCGAGCTGCCTCTCTGCGCTCCCTGTAAGCTCCCTGACGTCTGCCAGTTGACCGATGGAGTTGCCTGTTGGGCGGAACTTTCCGGTAGGCGGCCAGAGGCCCAATGAGGCTCTCGAGGCTGCTTCCTGCAATCCCCGGCGAGACTCTTGCCAAAAATTCCTCGGAATTTCCAAACACGAGGACTCCGGAGACAGAGAGATTGGTTCAGACTGCGGTGCTGAATACTAAACACATTCCGTTCCTTATTTGAAGACTGATGTAATGTAATGTGTGTGTCAGTCTGGCTCAGTGGGAGCGCTCTCGTCCCTGAGACAGAAGGTCGTGGGTTCAAGCCCCCACGTCGAGACGTACAGTACTGGGGGGGGGTGTTTGTATTGACAGAAGTGCCGTCGTTTGGATGAGACGTTAAACCGAGGCCCTGGCAGACTGGACGTTAAAGATCCCGTGGCGCTATTTCAAAGGAGAAAAGAATTTCTCCCTCCCGGGGTCCTGGCCAACAATTCCCCCAAATAAAATTAGCCGCTCACTTCACGCTATTTGTGGGGACGCTGCTGTGCGCAATTGGCTGCCGCGTTTCGCCCGCAAAATACACAGTCACTGACTTTACAGTATATCCTGTGAGGAGCTTTGAGACGTCTTAACAACATGATAAGGCGCGATGTCAAATCCAAAGATTATTATTATTATTAATACCGCAAAACCAAGCTGAGTGGAGTGACTGCCAACCCCCAGTGCCTGGTCTGTCCTTCCTTGTCCTGCCGATGAACCAGTCCGAGCTGTGCTGTCATCAGCAGTGAGTGCCCTGGAATACTGTGGACCGGCCTGGAGACCGTCACAGAGGGTGAGCTCGATACTGATACTCCATTGCCAAACATGTCAGTTATTTACCTCCTCCCCTTAACCCCTCCCCAGGATGATTGGCACTAGTTGGTCATTTAAATCCAACTGGTTACCATCCTCCTGGGGGTGGGGGTTGTGGGGGGGGTAAATCGAGGTCAGGGTTGGATGCAGAGCAAAGGAGAAGGAGTGCTGTGCTGTACGGTGGTGGGGTTGGACATTGTAGGACACCGCTGTGTGCAAATCGGCTGCTGCATTCACCTGCAAATACACAGTCACTACACTTTGCAGTAAATTCTGTAAAGCACTTTGAGACGTCCTCCTGACATGATAACAACAACAAGACAACAACAACAACAACAAGATTCCATTTATAAAGCGCCTTTCATGTCAGGAGGACGTCCCAAGGCGCTGCACAGTTGGGTCATGACCCGAGCAGGGAGGGAAATGGTCAGGGTGAGGGGAGGGAAGGGAGGGAGCGAGGAGGGGGGAAATGGTCAGGGTGAGGGGAAGGAAGGGAGGGAGCGAGGAGGGGGGAAATGGTCAGGGTGATGGGAAGGAAGGGAGGGAGCGAGGAGGGGGGAAATGGTCAGGGTGAGGGGAGGGAAGGGAGGGAGCGAGGAGGGGGTAGAGAGTCGAGAGGGGAGCTGAAGGCTCGGTCAAAGAGAAAGGTTTTGAGACCGGCCTTGAAGGAGGAAAGGGAGGAAGCGGCGAAGGCACTGGGGGATGGAGTTCCAGAGCCTCGGGGCTGAGAGGCTGAAGGCCCGACCACCGATGGTAGGGCGGTTGGGGCGGGGGACGTGGAGCAGACCGGAGCCAGAGGAACGGAGGGTACGGGCAGGTAGGTAGGGGGATAGTAGGTTGGAGAGGTAGGAGGGAGCGAGGCCGTGAATGGCCTTGTAGGTGAGGATGAGGATCTTGAAATCAATCCTCTGGGGGATGGGGAGCCAGTGGAGGCGAGCGAGGGTGGGAGTGATGTGGTCGCGGTGTCTGGTGCGGGACAGTACACGAGCTGCAGAGTTCTGAATGACCTGCAGTGTGGAGGGAGGGCCGGGAAGGCCGGCGAGGAGAGAGTTCCCATAGTCCAGCCTTGAGGTGACAAAGGCGTGAACCAGAGTTTCAGCCGCGTGAGGGGTGAGGTAGTGCCGTAGTCTGGCGATGTTCCGGAGGTGATGGAAGGCGGTGCCGGTTGTGGTGCGGATGTGAGGGAGAATGGACAGCTCAGGGTCGAACAAAACGCCGAGGTTCCTGATGGCTTTGAGAGGTGGAGAGTGCAGCCTTGGACAACAACAGCTCGCACTTATACATGCAGCGCCCTCCATGCAGGGTAGCGTCTCAGAGCGCTTAGAGCACTATATCAAACTGTAAAGGATCATTTTTATTATTATATGAATTCCAATTCCCGACGTGGGGTTTGAACCCACAAGCTTCTGACTCAGAGGCGAGAGCCCTACCCCCGAGCCAGGCTAACGACCACCTGAACAGGCAGATGGGGCCTTCGGTTTAACGTCTCATCCAAACGACAACGCAACATGACCCCAGCACTGCACTGGAGCGTCAGCTTGGACGGCGTGAATTCATATCCAAATACACGTAAAGGCAGAGAGTCAGTCAGTCCAAATCTTGTGTTTTACTAACTCTTCCCCCACCCAACCCCTTCCGCCACCCCCACCCCCACAACCCCATCCCCTTCCTCTCGAAGGAAATTTGCTTCCCTTATCCATGTGAATCTTGGCAAAGATTTCTCCATCCCAGCTGCCTCCCATTCTGTCCAGCGGGAGCTCAGCTCTGGAACACGCACAGAACCATATGGGCAGCATTAGTGGCTTACTTCCCTTTGAAGAGTTTTGTGTACAGGGTGTTCGCAATGTCCTGTTACCGCCCACCCACCCCCCCACCCCCCACCCCAACCCCGATGTTTTTTTTACACACAGTGCACTGACCAACAACTGAAACATGCAGGAGCGCGATGATGATTGTAGTTAGAGGCTCTTCATTGGATTCAGTGCAAGTGTTTTACTGTATTCAGACACGTTTAGATATTGCCCTATTGAAAAAGAGAAGGGAGTTTTTCTCTCTCTCTCTCTCTTTCTCTCTTTCTCTCTCTCTCTCTCTCTTCCTCCCTCCCGGTGTTCTGGCTGACAATTCCCCCAAAATAAAATTGGTCCGTCACTGTTTGTGGGACACTGCTGTGCGCAACTGACTGCCGGCTTTCGGCCACAAAATGCACAGTCACTTTGCAGTCTCGTGAAGCGCTTTGAGACGTCTCGACGACACGATAAGGTGCTATATCAAATGCAAGGATTATTATTACTATTATTATTAGACGTCCAGAGGATTGGTCTGAGAGAACGCCATCATTTTCATGGCAGATAATGATCTTTCGCCATGTTTGGTGTGACATCTTCCGTAACGTGGAGATAATAACAATCCTTGCATTTGATATAAAATTTGAAGGGATAATTACTCCCGGAAAGCGATCTGCCAATTGACTAACAACCGGGTTCCTAAAATGTGGTAAAATGTGGATGGGGTGAGGAGGAATCCGCTGGTATCAAAAGCAGGGGGTAACAGGACTTTGTGAACACCCTCGAAAGAAGTTCTTCCATTCATTTCTACACTCCAATAATAATAATCATTTACAATGGGAAAAATAAGGATCCAGAGAAGATCAGGAAATATATCGAGCTACAAAATGCAGATCTATGTGGCAATGTAAAACAAACATAGTTCCCATAATCATCAGCGGAACTGGGACTGTTAATAAGACTCTTCAGAAATGGCTTCACACGATACTTGGTGAATAAAATATCAACCTCCCGCAGAAAGCAGCTATTTTAGGATGTTCAGATACAGTAAGGAAAATAACATCCATTCATATAAACTTTGGCAGTGTTGTTGGTCTGGCTGATCATCACTGAAAAACATTACCTCTACATAGTAATTGGAACTGTAGTAACATCATAATAATAAATAATAATTCTTCCATTTGATGTGTTGACGTATAATGTCAAATGTGCCAAAGCGCTTCGCTCACTCTCTCCAAAGTCCGCCTGCACCTCCTTCCCTCCCTCCCTCCTCAAGCCCCTCCAACCTGGTTTCCGCCCTGCCCACAGTACAGAGACAGCCCTTGTCGAAGTCACCAATGACTTACTTTCTCTCTCTCTATGACCAGGGCTCCCTCTGCTTCCTTCTCCTCCTTGGCTTCTGCTGCTTTCAACACTGTTGACCACTCCATCCTCCACGACCGCCTCTCTTCCCTCATCCACCCCTGTGAGATCACTCTCTTCTAATTCCTATCCTAACCTACCTGGCCCATGACACCACTCTGTCTCCTCCAACATTTTCTCCTCCCGCCCTCGCCCAGTTACCCGTGGAGAACCTCAGGGCTCTATCCTCGGCCCCTCCTTTTCCTCATCTCCGTGCTCCCTCTCGGTGAGATCATCTGCAGTTGACTTCCACGTGGATGTGGACTAACCCAAATCTCCATGGCTACTCTTGACTCCAGGTCCACTGATGTTTTGGTCACCTGCCTGCCTGACTGATAGACATCAAGGCCTGGAGGAGCATCAATTTCCTGCAGCTCAACATGGACAAGACGGAAGCCAACCTCCTTGGCTTCTAACAGTGTTTCCTCATTTCTGTCTCTGACCTCCTCAAACCTCCCCAACCTCTCCCTCAAACTCACCCAGCCAGTCTGATGCTATTCTCGGGCAGGGCAAAACATTAGACAAGTTTTGTTACTCTACACGCCTCAGTTTACTTAGCAGTAAGTGGGAACTCAGTTGTTGGTTGATTGGCGGATTGTTTTCCGGGGGTAATAATCCCTTGAAAAGAAAATAATAATAATTTGGTCACTCAATCCACAACTGTAGGACACTGACACTGTCCTGTGGAATTGGCTGGCGTATTTCGCCCACAAACTATACAATCAATTCATTTTACAGTATATTTGGTGAAGCACTTTCAGACGCCTTGAAGACATGGTAAGGAGTGATATCAAATGCAAGGATCATTATTATTGTTGCGTCCATTTTGATCCTCAGCTCTCCTTTCTCCCCGATTGTGACCAAAACCACGTTTCTTCAGCTTTCGGCACATCGCCCATAAAATACAGTCACTACAATTACAGTCTATTCTGTGAAGCGCTTTGAGACATCTCAAAGACATGATAAGGCGCTACATCAAATGCAAGGAATACTATTATTATTACATAACGAATACAGTACGTGTAACACTCCTGGTGTAATATAACTTTGAATTCCTATCAGATGGCTGTGGCACACTGATGTGATTTATTTTTGAGTGGTAATTCTTGGAACCTGTCTGTGATATAACACCCCCTCACGGCCCCAGTACACACCATTGGGTTCAGAGGCGGAGTGGGGTTGGACAGGTGTGTCAGCCAAATACTTGAGCCAGTGAGGGGGGGAAGAGAAGGGTTTGAGGTATCTCAATCAAGAGGTGGTGGGTTCGATTCCCAACGTCAGAACTTTGAACTGCGCATTGGCTGACGTTCCAGTGCAATGCTGGGGGGAGCACTGCATTGTTGGAGGTACCTTAAGACGTTAAATGGAGGTCCCACGGCTCTGTTTGAAATAAGAGAAGGGAGTTTCTCTCTCCCGGTGTCCTGGCTGACATGGCTGTTTGTGGGGACAGATTGGCTGCTGCAAAACACACGGTCACTACACTTCGCAGAAAAGGCCTTGAGACGTTTCGACGTGATGCATTGCTATATCAAATGCAAGGATTAGTAGTGGTTAGCTCAGTTAGCAGCTCGTGTTCTCTCCCGCACTAAGCTCCGTTAGCCCCCAATTCTGAACCCAGCTTCACTGACTCCCCGCCCCCAGAGGATAGGGTTCAAGATCCTCATCCTCATCTTCAAAGCCCTCCATGGTCTTGCTCCTCCCTAACTCTGTGACCTATTAAAACAAGACCAATTGCCCACTACCTCAGCTCTCCAGGCACTGGCCTGCTCCATGTCCCCCACCTTGCTCGCCCCACCATCGGCGGTCGGGTCTTCAGCCTCTCTGCCCTAACATTCTGGAACACCATCCCAGAGCCTCTCCGCCTCACCACCTCCCTTGCCTCCTTCAAGGCCCATCTCAAGACCTTCCTCTTTGACCAATCCTCCCACCCACCTTCCCTTCCAGCCCTCTTGATCTCAACGCCTAGCTCGGGTGCAAGCCTCCCATTGTCCAGCACCTTGAGATGTCCTCCTGACATGAAAGGCGCGGTGTAAATGCAATTTGTTGTGTGTTTTTGTTGCTTTACGCTATTGACGGAATGCTTGCTGGCTGCTGCCTTCTGTGTTAAAGTCTCCGTGACTGTTTTTTGGGTGACTTGTTTTGCTGTCTTCCAGCACACGACAGTTCTCCCCTTCCTAATAATTCAGATGAGAACCACACAGCATCGCTATCCCAGTCGTCAGCTCGGGCATGTAGCCGTCTGCCTCTTTTCCATGGCTTACATTGTATGGTAAGTGACCTGACCTCGTGTTCCATTGTAGCCAGAGAGAGACTGGGACTGAAGGAGAGAGGGACCTCAGTTAGAAGCACTCCTGCCTCTGAGTCAGAAGGTTGTGAGTTCAAGCCCCACGTTGGGACTTGGAGTCACATAGTCTAAGCTGATGCTCCGGTGCAGTGCTGGGGGGCTGTTGCATAGTTGGAGATGCTGCTTTCACTCACAAAACACACAGTCACTCCGCTTTACAATAATGATAATAATCCTTGCATTTCCTACAGAGCCTTATCACGTCTTCAAGACGTCTCAAAGAGTTTCACAGATTATAATATAAAGTGGACTGACTGTGTATGATGCTTTGATACAACGCAATGTTGTGATCAGCTGCAATATCAAATACAAGGATTATTATTGTTATTATAATAACCCAAAAGATTTGGTTGACTCTTGCCTCTCACCCCCACCTCCCATACTCCATTCCCCAGGTTATCTCTTTCCAACTGTACAAGCCTCACTTTCCACCCACTCTAAGCCTGTAACATATTGTGCCTTAAAATTTACGATCATGTAGTAATTGTGGAAAATCCGTAAATTTTCCAAGTCTGAGTTTGGAAGCCGGGTTTCCGCAGTTGTTAAAATGTTAAAGATATATTGGCCCTGGAGGGGGTGCAGCGTAGGTTCACCAAATTTATACCAGGGATTAAATAGTTAAATTACGAGGACAACAACACCACCAATATTATATTTGTGTAGCGGCTTTCACGTCGGGAGGACATCACAAGGCACTGGGCAGGTTGCATAAACTTGGTCTGTATTCCTTTGGGTTATAATAATAATAATAATAATCCTTGCATTTGATATAGCGCCTTATCACGTCTTCGAGACGTCTCAAAGCGCTTCACAGAATACACTATAAAGTTAATTGACTGTTCATTTTGTGAACGAAACGCGGCAGCCAATTGCGCACAGCAGCGTCCCACAAAGTCGGGGATTGAAGGGACCAATTTAATATTTTTTTTGGTTGAAGGAATTTATTAACCCCGGAAAAGCGATCCACCAATTGACTAACAAGCGGGTTCCTACTTACTGCCGGGTTAACAGAGGCCCGTGGAGTAAGGAAACTTGCCCAACATTTTGCCCTGCGGAGAATCGAACCCAGGTCTCTCGCTTGTGAGGCGAGTGGTCTAACCACTGAGTTTAGATGGTTGAGGGTTGATCTGATTCAGGTATTTAAAATGATAAAGGGATTTGTCGGGGTAGCTACCGAGAAACTATATCCTCTGGTGGTGGAATAAGGGGCATCATCTTAAAATTAGAGCTTAGCCATTTAGGAGTGAAATCAGGAGGCAGTTTTTCACCTGAAAAGTAGTAGAAAACTAGAACTCTCTCCCCCAAAAGGCTGTGGGTCCTGGATCCATTCACATTTTCAAGACTGAGGGGGATAGATTTTTGTTAGCTTAGGGTATCAAGGAATACGGGGCAAAGGCAGATAATTGGAGTTGAGGTGCAGATCGGCCATGATCTCATAGGATGGTGGTCCTGGCTCGAGGGGCTAAATCCAATTAATCCATAACTCCACTGCCCGCATACCCATCTGCACTAAACTCCGTACCCCCATCACACTGGTCCTCGACAGGCTTCACTGTCTCCCTATTACACATACTAAACAGCGTACCCCCATCACACCAGTCCTCGACAGGCTCCACTGTCTCCCTATTACACATACTAAACAGCGTACCCCCATCACACCAGTCCTCGTCAGGCTCCACTGGCTCCCTATTACCGAACGGATCGATTTCACAATACTCACGCTGGTCTCCAAATCCCTTCATGCCCTGGCCCCTCCCTACATCTCCGACCTGCTTACTCCCCAACCCACTACCCGCTGCCTCCACTCGACTGGCTCTGGCCTCCTGCTTGTCCCTCGTGCCTTCTGTTCCACCATCGGTGGCCGGGCTTTCAGCCATGATAGCCCAAAACTCTGAAACTCTTTCTTTCAATCCATCCGCCTTGCCCTCTCCGTCCCCAACTTCAGCTCACGCCCTATATAAAATGCAAGTTGTTGTTGTTGAGTAGCCTATCCCTGTTCCTATGTCCTGCGTTCCTCTCTCTCCTTCAGGATTTTTTGGATCCAACACATGACTGGTCTCTGGGTCTATACTCTTCTGGAACACCTCAGCTGTCTGATGAAGATTGGGTTCTTTGCTGCTGGAGTGGCTGTGGTTAATGTACTGTACGTGCTGGGAGATATATTAAACAGCTTCATCTGGGACGGCTCGAATGGTAAGTCTTGGCATTGATTTATAATAATATAATAATAATAATCCTTGCATTTGATACAGCGCCTCATCGTTTGGTTGAGACGCCTCAAAGTGCTTCACAGAATATACTGTAAAGTGTATTGACTGTATATTTTGTGGGCGAAACACGGCAGCCAATTGCGCACAGCGGTGTCTCCCACAAATACTTGTGGATTGAGTGACCAAATTATTACCCACAAGAAAGAGTTACACCATTCGACTAACAAATGGGTTCCTACTTATCTCTGGGACCTTAAAATAGTCCTGTGGAGTCCTGCAGCTCCGTGGTTAGAGCAAACGAGAAAGCTGGGTTCGATTCCCGGCAGGGCAAAACCTTGAGTAAATTTCCTTACTCCACACGCCTGATAATAATCCCTCAAGAAAAAAACCAATAATAATTTGCTCACTCAATCCATGACTGTTTGTGTGACGCTGCTGTATGCAATTGGCAGTTATATTCTGTGAAGCGCTTTGAGACGTCTAGAAGAACGTGATAAGCGCTATATCAAATGCAAGGATTATTATTATAAATACCTTAAAAGGAGTCCACTGCTGTGGGGGCAAAGGGTAGGTAAATGGGACTGAAATGATTGCTCTTTAAAAGAGAGCACACACACAATGGGCCGAATGACCTTCTTCTGTGCCATAAATTTCTATGTTCTATATGGGATGTCCTCCCAACATGAAACACTCAATATAAGTACACTACTTCACACTAGCACTTTGCGATCTGTGGGTGGGGTTGGTGGAGAAGGGGAGACTTGTAATAAATGGGTGGGGTTAACATTGAAGGAGTGGATTGTTGTTAAGTGACTGTGCAAAATTGGCTACCGCGTTTTGCCCACAAGTATACAGTCAGTTCACTTTACAGTGTATTCGGTCACTCGCTTTGAGACGTCATAAGGAGCTATACCAAATGCAAGGATTATTATTATTATTACTAGGTGGATGGGTTTCAAGTTGAATGGGCGGAAATGAGTGAATGTTGAATAGGCGAGGCTAATGGTGTGGGTGGAGTTAATAGATACTGAGCGGGGTTTGGAATCAAGGAGGAGGGATTGGGAGGTAGGGGGCTTCCTGTAAACCTTGGCTCCGTTGCGTGGCATCAAAAATGGAGGCAGCGAAACACATTGGCGAAGCTCTATCTCTGGTCTATTCCTCTCTTTCCAGATACAGAAGAGAAGGTGGGAAGCAAGGACAAACTGGAGTGAAGCCAGGGAGGAGAAGACTGAAGATCCCACCCCCAACCCCCGCTCCCGTGGAAACAAAGACAACTGTAGAGGAAAACAGCAGAGATTCCCAAGTATAGGAAGCCTCAACACTCGTCAGTGCCTCTCTTACTCCAGTGAACTTGTGGGAAACTCCTCAGTCGCTCTCTATTGAGTTCACTTGGCCAAGAAGGTCGCCAACACTTTTCAATACGGTCAGAAAAAAAACTACAGCAAAACAATACCAATTCAAGCTCAGAGTCCCTCAAATACAACTTACGCTGGAAGGCTATCTTTCAAGACGTAACTCTTTGACTGGGCCTTCCATCATCCCTCTCCTTTACAAAGTGGAGTCCTGTAGCTCAGTGGTTAGAGCACTCGCTTTGCAAGTGAGAGACCTGAGTTCAATCCCAGGCAGAGGGCGAAACCTTGGGCAAGTTTCCTTACTCCACACGCCTAATAATAATCCCTCCAAAACAAAAACAATAATAAATTGGTCATTTTCAATCTACGACTGTTTGTGGGACATTGCTGTGCGCAATTGGCTGCCGCGTTCGCCCACAAATATACAGTCAATTCACTTTACAGTCTATTCTGTGAAGCGCTTTGGGACGTCCTCCCGACGTGAAAAGCGCTATATCAAATGCAAGGATTATTATTATTATTATTATTATAGAATCATCTGGAATTTCTCTCCCATTGTCCTAAAATATCAGCCAGGTGTCAGCCTGGGTCGGTTGGTAGCACTCTCTCCTCTGAGTTCACAGTCTAGGCTGATCTCCGATGCAAAGCTGTTGGAGGGTGGGGGGAGTGTTACATTGTCAGAGGTGCCGTCCTTTGGATGAGATGTTAAACGAGATCCCGTCTGCCTGTTCAGATGGACTTTAAACATCCCATGGCACTATTTGAAAAGGGTAGGGAGTTTCTCTCTCCTGTTGTCCTGGCCACCAATCCTCCAGATAAATTAATCATTCGCTTCACAGCTGTCTGTGCGCAAATTGTCTGCTGCGTTTACAAGAAAAACACAAGTCGTTACACTTCACAGAAAATATCCTGCGAAGCGCTTTGAGGTGGCGCAACGATGTGATAAGGAGTTATATCAAATGCAAGGATTATTATCCATTAATATTATTATTATAGGCGTCTTGATAATGTGACATGGTACTGTATCAAATGCAAGGATTATGACTGTCAGAAGAACATTTTAGGTGGTGCGGAATTGTGGAGAATTCTCTTAAATTTAGCCTGAATTAGGAAGCTTCTTTCTTTTGAAGAAACGACAACAACTTGCATTTATATAGCGCCTTCATGCAGGGTAGCATCTCGGAGCACTGGTGGGGCCTGATACCCAGCCAGGGTAGGTGACCGTAAGCACGGTCGAAGAAGAAGGTCTTCAGGCGTAATGTGAAACGTAGAGCAACAACTTCCAAATTAAGGAGGAGTTAATTAAAGAATTTTCCAAAATCCTATGAAAGGTTAAAACAAACAGATTAAATTCCTGCGTAAATGGATCACCAATGCCATCACTCTTGCCTAACTGTTCAGGCCACAATCTGAATGTATTGTTATCCTGTTAAGATGGATACAAATTATTGGGGAAACCAGGCCTTATTGAACATTAAATTCTCGTCAGGATTTTTAAACCTGACATCCATCTCCATGATTCTTTTCCCACTGGAACTCTCTAATCCCATTCCCCATCGTGTCTGTGCTGGTGCTCAATCCCCCACTGGAGCTCTCGACTCTAATTCCATTCCCTGCTCTTTCCCCACCATGTCTGTGCTCCCTCACTGGAGCTCTCTAGATGTCAGCCTGGCTCAGTTGGTAGCACTCTCACCTCTAAGTTGGGGACTGTGAACTCACGGTCTAGGCTGACACTCCAGTGCAGTGCTGGGGGTGTGTTTCGTTGACGTCTTACAGATGAGATGTTAAACCAAGGTCCCCTTTGCCTTGTACTGTGTATTTTGTGGGTAAAACACGGCAGCCAGTTGCACACAGCAAGGTCTCACAAAAAGCCATGGAGTGAGTGACCAATTTCATTTGGGGAATTGTTGGCCAGGAGACCATAGAGAGAAAACTCCCTTCTCTTTTTGAATAGAGCCACAGGATCTTTAACAACCACCTGAACAGGCAGACGGGACCTCGGTTTGATGTCTAATCCGAATGACGGCACCTCTGCGAGTACAACATCCCCCAGAACTGCACTGGAGCATCAGCTTGGACTGTGTGATTCTAAGTCCCGACGTGGGGATTGAACCCACAACCTTTTGACTCAGAGACGAGAGCCTTAACACTGAGCCAGGCTGACACAAGAGCCATCTATTGATTTGGATCTTGTTTATTCTTCCATGATAGTCAAGTGTCAGTCAATTACATGCTTTGCCTTATTGTTTCAGACTCTTTGGTGCCCTGCCTTTGAAATGCCAGACTCTTGGACTTATTTATTCATCAGCCTAATGTTTAATGTATTATTTTGCCAAACAATAGGTTGTAAACAGTATTGTGGTTCAGTTGCCCTTGACTTCAGGGTTTCAGTTTGTCAGTCAATCGTGCCCTTGTCCCTTCCAAAGCTATCTATTGAACCAGACCGATGATGCCCTTGTCAAAAATTCTCCATATTAATCGGTCAGTCACTCTGCGTGCATTTGACATAGCGCCTTATCACATTGTTGAGATTTCTCAAAGTGCTTCACAGGATATATTGTAAAGTGTGACTGTACGTGCTTCTGGGTGAAACGCGGCAGCCAATTGCACACAGCAGTGTCCCGCAGTCAGTAGTGGATTGAGTGACCGTTTTTATTTTTTTGAGGGATTATTATCCCCGGAAAGCGATCTGCCAATCGTCTAACAACCGGGTTCCTACTTACTGCTAGGTAAACAGAGGCGTGTGGAGTAAAGAAACTCGCCCAAGGTTCGCCCTGCCTGGGAATCAAACCCAGGTCCTCTCGCTTTGAAGCAAATACCATAACCAATAGATTATGGGACTCCACATTTTTGTGCCAATTGTATGCAAAACAGTTTCCCTCCGCAACTCAGGGACCTAATTCTAGATGCCCCTCAATGTACCCTTTCCAAAGCCAAGATATCTTCCAGTTCTGATCTATAGGGTCATGACTCACTCCCTCTATTGGTGTCAATCTGGTTCAGGTCTCACCTCTTAGCCTGACTCATTTGATAGCAATCTCACTTCTGAGGCAGAAGGTTGTGGGTTCAAGCCCTACATCGGAGGCTTTGATCTCATATAGTCTAGGCTGACGCTCTGGTTATTGGAAATGCCGTCCTTTGGCTGAGAAGTTAAACCGAGGTCCCGTCTGCTTGTTCAGGTGAATGTTAAAAATCAGGCGGCGCTATTGGGAAAGAGAAGGGAGTTTCTCTTTCCCGTTGTCCTGGCCAACAATCCCCCAAGTAAAATGACAACAAAATTACATTTGTAAAGCGCTTTTCATGTCTGGAGGACGTCCCAAGGCACTGAACAGTCAGAGATCAGGACCCAAGTGTGGGGGGCAGGGTTGGGATGAGGGAGGGTAGAGGGGGTAGCAGAGCGGCTGAAGGCACCATCAAAAAGAGGGTCTTGAGTCATGCCTTGAAAGAGGCAAGAGAGGGAATGAGACGAAAGGATTGTGGGATGGAGTTTCAAAGAGTGGGGGCAGAGAGACTGAAAGCCCGGCCGCCGATGGTATGGCGGGTTGGGCGGGAGACCTGGAGCAGGCCGGAGCCCGCTGAGCGGAGGAAGCGGACAGGTTGATCGGGGGTCAGCGGGTCAGAGACGTAGGAGGGGACAAGGCCGTGGAGGGCCTTGAAAGTGAGGACGAGGATTTTGAATTCAATCCTCTGAGGGATGGGGAAGCAGTGGAGCCGGGCGAGGGTGGGGGGCGATGGGGTCACAGAGCCTGGTACGGGACAGGACACGAGCTGTAGAGTTCTGGATGATCTGCAGCTTGCGGAGGGAAGAGTTTAGGAGGCCGACGAGGAGGGAGTTTCCGTAGTCGAGCAGTATTCGTATTTCCTTAGGTGAACGTGACAGCCAATAGTAAATTAGTCACTTCATTATAATTATTTATAATTACTTTCTAATTCATTATTATAATCATAATAATAATAATTCTTGCACTGATATAGCGCCTCATCACGTTGTTGAGATGCCTCAAAGCGCTTCACAGAATATAATATAAAGTGAATTGATTTTTTGGGCGAAACCTGGCAGCCAATTTCTCACAGCAGTGTCTGTCCCACAAACAGTAAACTGTTTCTAAAGCAACCGTACAAACATTTTATAAAACAAAATTGGCTGTCACGTCCACCTAAAGCAATACAACTGCTCTGAACAGTAAAACTTGTGAAGTGTTTTGAGACATCCTCGTGATGTGGGAGGCTCTGTATGAAAGGCAAGGATTATTATTATTATTTTGCCTTCCTAGAAACGGTTGCCACTTGACATCAATGACTTACGGTGCTTTTTTTTTTAAGAGACGTTTTCACACGTTACAGCGCTACATGTAGATATGATATAACAATAATTACCCTTGGGTTTGACACAGCGCCTTTCACATCGCTGAGACGTCTCAAAGCGCTTCACAGGATTTTACTCCAAAGCAGTGTGACTATGTGTAGTTTTTGGGGCAAACATGACAGCCAATTTGTGCACAGCAGTGTCCCACAAGCAGCCATGGATGTGTCAAAGTGCAGTAACTCTGTAATTTGTAGGTGCACGGACTGGTTGGGCCTAGTGGCCTGTTTCTGTGCTGTTCAGTCTAGATAAGTCTATGTACCAAGTGCAAAGATAATGCTGTGTCACTCAGTTGGTAGCTCTTTACTCATATTGGGACTTGGAACCCATATAGTCTAAGCTGATGCAACCCTTCGGATGAGATGTTAAACTGAGGTCCTGTCTGGTTGTTCAGGTGGACGTTAAAGATCCCAAGGCATATTTGAAAAGAGAAGGGAAATTCTCCCAGTATCCTGACCAACAATCCCCCAAATAAAATTGGTCACAAACTCCATGGCTGTTTGAGGGACAGCGCTGGACACAAATTGGTTGCCACGTTTGCCAACAAATACAGTCACTACACTTTACAATAAAATCCTGTGAAAGCGCTTGAATTATCTTGACTTCATGATAAGACGTTATATCAAATGCAAGGATTATTATTATTTATAAGTGATTTCTTTGATCATGGAGTTCTTTAGCGTATTGGTTAGAGCATTCTCCTCGCAAGCGAGAGGACTTGGATTTGATTCCCGAGCAGGGCGAAA